AAAAAAAAAAAAAAGACATTTCTACATTTCCCAGGTGGGAATAATAGCTATTTTCATCCTAACTGGTATAAGAACATCCACTTTTTACTTATTGATTGTTAGATTCCAAAAAACCAGGCTGTTATGTGAAAATTAGTGTTATCTGAAAATAGAGGATGACTAGATGAAACTGCAAAATGGAAGATTACTATATCATTGCATAACTGCCAAATTACATCATTTTATAACTGCTAAATTATGTTACGTAACTGCCAAATTACATCATTACTTAACTGTCATATTATATTGTATAACTGCCAAACTACTGAGCTCATGACCCAGCCAATTTGAGCTATAACCTTAATCACCACAGCCAGAGTTCCTCTCACCATGCACCTCAGCATTCGTAACTGCTATACATACATCATTAATGCACCAAATAATTGAATGTCAGCTGTTTTACTATTGTAAATGCGAAATGTTAGATAATGAGATAGTCAATAGTGAGGAGTAGGTGTAATTTTAAATCAATAGCATGTTCACGGTGTGCCATTTTACTTTTATAGTCTGTTTTTATTTTCTTTCTATGACATTTTCATTTTTAAAGAAATGTTTGGGTTTTCTGATTTTTGTTTTAGCTCTCTGCTTCATTTATCTCACTCACATTTGCAGAAGGATCATGAAAACTAGCTACTTACAGTTGGGCATATTTCTTAACTCCCTAATCCTTAACTTTCTCTTCTGTAAAATGGAGAGAATAGTAAGATATATAGGGTTTCTGTGAGAATTAAATGGTATATTTCATTTGATTATAATTAAATGAGATGCTTTATCACAGGAAACATTCAGTTGCTGTCATGATGAAAATGATGATAACTATAGATTCTAGGTGGACTATGATGTTTCTATATAAAGTTTTTGTTATTTTTCTACAGGCAGATGACCGCTCATCCCCCAATTATCCCTCTTCCTCCTACCTCCCTTACACATATTCATGATTGTAATTTTGAATAAATAGGAAAAAAGCTGTGACAAAAAACAGAAAATGAGAGACAGAGGGACTTAAATTTTTTATCTTCTTCTAACCTCCTCCCATCTCTCTAGAAACAGTTGCTGCTATTTTGTTGTCATTGTTGTTATGTGCCGTTGAGTTGGCCCCAACTCATAGCGACCCCTCCTTGGGTTTCTGAGGCAGTATCACTATGGAAGTAGATTGCCCCATCTTCTTTCCAAGGAGTGGCTGGTGGGTTTGAACCGCCAGCCTTCTGGTTAGCAGTCAAGTGCCTTAGGCAGTATGCTACCAGAGCTTCCTGCTGCTATTTTCATCGTTTAAATATCATATAGTGCAGCTCTGGTAGCATAGTGGCTACGGCACTTGACTGCTAACCAGAAGGCTGGCGGTTCAAACCCGCCAGCCACTCCTCGGAAGGAAGATGGGGCAATCTACTTCCGTAATGATACTGCCTCGGAAACCCAAGGAGGGGTCGCTATGAGTCGGGTCTGACTCGACGGCAAACAACAACAACAACAACAACATGGTGGAAGAAGGGCTATTTCAAAGAAGATGAATGATTTGTATGTTCTGAGGTGGAGTGTTGGTTGGGACTCATCTATAAGAAAAGTTTCCTTCTCTGAGAAAATGAGTAATATGCTTGACTTTATGGTTCACATATGTATTTAGAATTAAAACTATTTTAGTTATATTACTTTAACTAGAAAATATTAGAATACTGTCAATTAATCTGTTATTTATTGCCAGTTACATTCTCCATTTGTGGTGGAATTTAATCACCTATTTAATGTGTAAGGAATTTGTTTTTTTCTCCCTCTCAGGAATGCCCCATTATTACTTTTATCTTTACTTTAAAAATATATCGCTTATTATGTATAATATTTGTTTAATTTTCAAAGTGTTGCAGGTTCATTCTCTAACTGAATTATCTCCTTGTTATAGAAATTTATTTTATTTCATCTGCATCTCTACTTATATTAAAGGTTAATTTTTAATAAAGGTTATTGTCTCTTTTTATGGAAAGACATACAGTTGTGATATAGCTGAAGATTCAGTTTCTAATAAGAACATCCAATTTTTAGATGGGACAAAACTGTTAAGCAACAAAGGCAGAATTCTCAAAAATTTTTCTAATTGCTTTTATTAATGTTGAATATTAATTGACTATTTTCTTACCTTTTAAGGAGCAGACTTTACTGTTCTGATTTCCCCAAAATTCATGCCATATCTGAACCCAAAGATTGCCATTTGCAGAGGGATGGTTTTTATGAATGCATATTTCAACCAATTTTTTTATTATCCGGCTATACAATGTGGATTAGGATCAATCACTCTTTAGGTTCACTTGACTCTCCACCAACATGTGTTGTTCCTGATTCCATGGGTATGTCAAACTGTGTTGTGTATCTTCATTTTTGATAGCAGATTTGCATGTAGATTGATTCAGGGTTACTGTGGTATTTTATGGTTTTCCTGATCAGACTAGATTTTGAAAAGAAAAATGTTCCTGTTTACCATGGGATTGAGAAGAAAATTAGCCTTGGAAAGTTTTACAGCTTGATTTTATTTTAAATTATTCATTAGTACACTTTTTCAGCAAGAGGAAAATTTTCACCATGCTATTTCACAAGTAAGAGGCAGAGGTGGTTCAGTGGTGGAATTCTCACTTTCCATGCGGGAGACCAGGGTTCCATTTCCAGGCAGTGTGCCTCAAGCACGGCCACCACCTGTGTGTCAGCGTTGCTTATTGCTGTGATGCTCAATAGGTTTCAGTGAAGCTTCCAAACTAAGATAGACTAAAGAAAATCCTGGTGATCTGCTTCTGACAATCAGCCAGTTAAAACCCTATGGATCACAATAGTCTGGTTCTATTGTACATGGGATTGCCATGAGTCAAGGGCCAAGTCAAAGGCAGCTAACAATAATTTGACAAATTCTGTCAGTCACTGTGAATGAAACTTAGTAGTATTATTCTCAATAATAGGCAACTTTGTATGTTCTTTTCTCAGTGTGCTTATGAAAACATCTTGTATTTTTCATCTCAAATTTTACTTTTGACATTATGAGTTTTTTTTGTAACTTGACTAGTTATAACTAAGGTTTGAATATGTGAGGCTATGTAGGGAAGCAGAAGCATTCAAAATAACTAAAGTGCAGTGAAGAGAAAATAGTCAAGAATGATGATACCTATCATGATATTTAAAATATTCTTTTCAAAAGAGATTTTATATCAAAGAATTAAGAGAGTCCTTAGAAAACTTGATACATCTCTCTAATATCAATATGGAATCTTTGAGAAATGGCCCATTAGTGATTGTGTTGTTGTTGTTGTTATGTGCCCTCCAGTCGGACCCAACTCATAGCGACACCTCCTTGGGTTTCCCAGGCAGTATCACTACGGTAGTAGATTGCCCAACCTTTCTTCCGAGGCGTGCCTGGTGGGTTTGAACCACAAGCCTCCTGGTTAGCAGTCAAGTGCCTTAGGCACTATGCTACTAGGGCTCCTAGTGATCGTGTAGCACCAGTGAAAAGATGTCTTTTGGTACCATTTTGTTGGGAAATTATGCAAAAAATCAATTTTTGATTATTCTTTGTTTTTCAAACAATTAGTACCCATTTGAATTATCTACATTTTTCTAAATATAGAATAAACTTGTCATGATTTTAGATTTCTTTTTTTTAATCTAAAGTCTAAATCAATTTATTTTTTCCCCCTAAAACTATTTATTTAAGTCTGATTTTAAATATTTTACTTTAAGTGGTCCTCTTCTGGCTGTAAGTATCTAGGTTATGAAGGGACATTTTCCCCTGTCCCCTTCCCATACCCACACAAATGCACACACACATGCACACACACTCTATGTAATGTATGACAAATTTAACATGAATTCAGTAGCATATTTACCTGGATAAAGCTGATATTTGAGTTATAATGAAGTCAAGAGCTGCAGAGGCTTAGCTTGGGGGCTTTTACTTTCACAAGTGCTTTGAGCTTTATTTATTAGGAAGAGTGGCCCTCCTAATAAAACATAAAAATTTGGGAAAATTTATGAAGTCAATATAACTCTAAGCTAGACTTTTGACATTATTTCTGAGAGCTGCAGTATGAAAGGATGATGGTAAAACATGAAAGACAACCTTTTTTCTTTATCTTTCTGTGATTTTTATATTAAATATTTAAACATGTCATGGTTGTGTGTGTATTTATACGTTTGTTCCTCAAAAGTGAATTTTAAAAATGTTACTTGCTGTTTGGGTCATCTTTGCCTCTATTTCTCTCATTAAGGATCTATTTTCCTCAGATTATATAGAATCAAGGCTTTACTGTGCAAAATTATCCCTGACCTTGGCCTAGAAATATTTAATAACAGACAGCAGAAGAAGAGTTTGAAGGTCATATATGTAGAAATAGATGCAGTACATGTTTGTTTGCCTTTAATTAAAGCCCTGTGGAGAACAGAATTTGCTACTGATTTTTATCACATGTTCAGTATGGTGTATTTTTCTTCCAGAGCCAAAAACTCTATTGCTATACTATTTTTAATTGAATTACTATTGACTTACAAGGAGACATGGAAAATATCTTGACTTTTTTTCAGTCAAATATTCTGCAAAATAGGAGCTCTGGTGGTGTAGTGCCTAAGGCGTTTGACTGCTAACCAGAAGGCTGGCAGTTCAAACCCACCAGCCACTCCTTAGAAAGAAGGTTGGGCAATCTACTTCCATAGTGATACCGCCTCAGAAACCTAAGGAGGGGTTGCTGTGAGTCAGATCTGACTGGACAGCAGTGCCTTGTGTTATATTCTGCAAAATAGAGACAGTCCCTTTCTTATGTATCAAAGCAAGTTGTAGGGGAAAATGAGATAATTGATGAGAAAGTTTTGAAAAAGATATAAATGTAAGACATGAAAATAATAATATTCTTTAAACATTATTACTGTTTAAATTACTGTTAACATAATACTGTCCTTTAAATTTCTAGTGAAACCTCAGCCTCCATCCAGTGTGAAAGCAGAAATTACTGTACACATTGGGATATTAAAAATATCTTGGGAAAAGCCAGTCTTTCCAGAGAATAATCTTCAGTTCCAGATTCGCTATGGCCTAAGTGGAAAAGAAGTACAATGGAAGGTATAATGACCTTATATCTAGAAATTTCTTTATTTCTCTCCAACTAATAGATCTCAAAATCCAAAACAAAACCCATTGCCATCAAGTCAACTTGAACTGTTAGTGATCCTTCAGAACAGAGTAGAACTGCCCTATGGAGTTTGAAAGGCAATGATCTTTGTGCAAGCAGACTGCTGCATCTTTCTCCCATGGAATAGCTGGTGGGTTTGAACTGCCAACCTTTCAGTTACCAGCCAAGCACTCAGCCACTATGCCAGCAGGGATGCTTCGTAGATCTCCATGCACCTAGAATTATCTAAGCTCAATTATGAAAGTTGGGCTCTGTGTCTATATGGCTTAATAAGCTTATTGACTATTTGAGTTTTCAACCTTTTCTAAAGGTATTTTCATCTCTTTTGAAAAAGCTTCATATGTAGACAAGTCTTTTTTTGGAGGATCTTTCAGACTTTTGATAGGATTATAGCAAATCATTTAAGCATTTTCTTAAGTGTGTCTTTTAAGCTCAACATGCAGTCTTTTGGGGATTAATTTTTATCAATATGTTTATATCAGAAGGTTCCACTTTGCTCAAGTAAGCTCCTTCCTATTTCAGTTCTGGCATCTTACTCTATTATTCCATCACTCATCTGTCAGTTTGTTGAACTGTATTGGCTTGCATATTGCTTTTAAACTATACCACTGATATTTCAAATACCATCAAGTCACACATGGTGAATAGATTTTAACAGAGCTTCCAAACTAAGACACTAGGAAGAAGGATCTGGTGATCTACTTCTAAGAAAAACATTGGCCCATGAAAACCTTATCAATAGCAGTGGAGTGTTGTGATACAGAGCTGGAAGATGAGCTCTTCAGGTTGGAAGAGACTCAAAATATGAATGGGGAAGGGATACCTCTAAGAGTAGAGTTGACCTTAATGAAGTGGATGGAGTAAAGCTTCTGAGACCTTCATTTGCTGATGTGACATGACTCAAGAGGAGAAGAAACAGCTGCAAACATCCATTAATAATCAGAATGTAGAATTATGAAGTATGAATCTAGGAAAATTAGAATATTAAATATAACATGGACTGCCAGAAGAATAATCTGTCTTAGAAGAAATACAGTCAGAATGCTGCTTAAAAGTGAGGATGGTGAGATGTCATCTCATGTACTTTGGACATGTTATCAGGAAGAACCAGTCTCTGAAAAAGACATCATGCTTGGTAAAGTAGAGGGTTGTTCTGGTTACCTAGTGCTACTCTGACAAGAATATACCACAAACTAGATGGCCTTAACAAACAGGAGTTTATTCTTTTACAGTTTGGAGGCTTTAAGTCCAAGTTCAAAGTGTCAGGCTCTAGGGGCTGGCTGAAAGCCTCTCAGCCTTGGGCTTCAGCTCTGCCTCCACCTCCTGGCCCACTGAAGCTAGAGGCTTTTCTTCACTCAGACAGCTGCTGGCTGCTGAGGCTGCAAAGCCCAAGGTTGACAAGTGAAAAGGCACAGTCCTGATGTTACCAAGCCACACGGCAGGCTATTAATTCAAGTCCATTGTAAGTCCCCAGGTCGGCAGAGCATGGCAGGCTGCTGAACGACATGGCTACATGCAGGGTCCAAGTGCGCCATAAGCTAGAGACCATTTCCAAAGCTGTTTCTAACATACGGGAAGCAGACCACATACCCACAGGCACCTACTCAGCTGCTAACAGTATATTCCACCATGGGGTTAATTACTAGTCTCACTGAGGGGAATACTACATCCAGCTGCCCAGCCACTCAACCAGGCCCAGTGAAGTTGATACACAAACTTAACTACCACAGTTCCACCCCTTCTCAACTTGGCACCTGTATAGATCTTCAGTAGATGGTGTCTATACAGATCTCTTCACTGGGTGGCTCCAGTCCCCTAGTTCCTGAGTGGCAACCTCACCCCCTTGGCCTGGCAGGCCCCATTCCTCTCCCTCTTGGGCATAGCAGCCCTGCTCCCTCACTCTTGGGCAGTGGCTTGACTCCATCCCACTAGCTCACATGAACGAGCAGCCCCACATTTCAGAACCCAGTTGGTGAAGGTCTGGCTCTTTGAAACCTAGGGGGCTGTGGTGGTTCCACCCCCAAAGGCCATGGTCCTACTCTTAAGGCTGAGGCAGCTCTACTTCCCGTTTCCTTGGTCTCTCTGCTTCTGCTGATTAATGCCAAAGGCAACCCACTCCGCAGGAAATCTTCCTGCCCAAAAAGCACTCAGCTTTCTTGCTCTGTGGGTTGGCCAACCTGCTCCTCCATTTCATGCTGGTCTCTTCTACCAATTAATGCCCAAAGGCAACCCACTCCACCAGGAAGCCACCTGCACAATGGCATCCAGCTTTCTCTTCTGCGGGCTGGTAAGGCTGTCTCTGTCTCATGCCGGTCTCTGGGCTCTGCTCTTGCCGTCTCTCATGCCATATGCTGGGGTCTCTCTGCCAGGGTCTTGAGTCAAGGATGCACTCCACCCCTGTTTCCACATTTTAGGTATCTGTTAGAGCAGCACTTCATTTTCTCAGTACTATATTCTGATCTGGTTACCCAGTGCTGCTCTGACAAGAATATCTACCACAAATGGGATGGCCTTAACAAACAGTTTATTCTCTTACAGTTTGGAGGCTTTAAGTCCAAGTCCAAAGTGCCAGTCTCTAGGGCTTGCTGAAAGCCCCTCATGCTTGGGCTTCAGCTCTGCCTCCACCTCCCGGCCCACTGAAGCTAGAGGCTTTTCTTCATTCAGACAGCTACTGGCTGCTAAGGTTGCCAAGCCCAACGTTGACAAGT